ACGCGCGCGCGCGCTATTTTTAACATTTTGTAATCTTGAGCGATGTAATGAGAAATGTGTTTTGTATCACTACTTGGTTTATGTGGTTTAATACGTGTGACACAGGCTATGCTTAAAAGTAGTATCCAGCCACTATTGTTTAAAAAACCATAGTTTTAAGAAATAAAGATTTTATTATTCAGGTACAAGTTTACGTACAGAGACATACTAAATCGTTCGAATGTTCTACAAACTCAACCGGTAGGTAAAATAATTCCTGGCCCCCCAGCACACGCGTCGTGGTGAAATGCAGCCGCTGACACGTTGAATCTTGTTTCATCAACTGTCGCTTGCCAACGACCGAGACGCCCGACAGGGTTTAGGGCACGTTCCCATTATGCCGTAACGTTTTATTTATCGTTAGACGACTGTCGCGTCTAGCCTGTTCCCATATTACGACTACCTGTCATGATTATGTCGTGGAACTTATTTTATCATTGAACAACTGTCGTGTCTAGCTGTTCACACTAGATCGTGACGACAATTTATCGGTTCACGGTAGCTGCCTTGTCGTTTGCACGACAGAATCGTTTGAAGCTGCGATTATTTGTCGTCACATTTTATCGTAACGTTTTATATATCGTCTGACGTGTTTCTTTCTAGCTCTTTCCATTGTCCCGACAGTCTGTCGTTGCAACGTCAAAAAATCGTTTCATTTAAATATACAAGCCACGACACTTTAAACTGCACTACTATGTGTCGTCACGACATAATGGGAACGCGATCTTACACTTAGAATTACAATCGTCATACGACTCAGAGTTGGAAATGGGTTTTTACCAGATAAATATCCGTCAAAGGATAAATATCCAATAAATATCCCATTTCACTGAGTATTTATCCTAAAACATGGATAATTATTTTTCGTGTTTTTTAAAATTCATTAGAATCCATTTTTTTAAATTAAATAATTAGTATTAGTAACAATACTGTCTCAATAGGTATCTAAGTTTTTCGAGTCGATAACATCTTACTGATGGTAGGAATGTAAACTAATAGCAAACTGAGGGTCGTATTCTAGAACTTTACTCAATGCTCAAGTCAGGAGGATTTGAGTATGGTTTAAAGCACTCGAAATCACACTCAAGTCCCTGCCATTAGGGTCGTATTTCCAGTGATTGTGTTTGCAGTGCAATCCTGACTTGAGCATTAAGTAGAGTTCTGGAATACGACCCTTACTCACCTAAACTTTTATCAACATAAAAGTTGGCTAGTATAGACAATTCGATTGACAGAAAGTTATCAAATGAACTGTAAACCTTCAGCTGACCTATCCTGCGTTAAGAAAGTGCGACCAAACTCTATGGTCTACTGCGTACTAAATAAAATCATGTATGGACTTGAAATAGCCCAAGGATCCCCTTTCACATTTCACACACAAAATATATTAATTAAAACACATGATATAAAAGATAAATGTTTCTAATTGTGTAGGTACACAAAGTGTTTTGATGCGGCGAACACAATTCTCCTTAGCGGCTCTCTCTGTTTCTTTCGCACTCATGTAAATTATTGGGTAGCGAATTTAGGCTTTGGCAAAATAGTGGCCAAGTGATTTTGAATTGAATATACTTTGTATTAGAATTAATTATTGTTTAAGTATTTCCAATGAAGCCTGTACAGTTTTTTAAAAATAAAATATTGGACAACGAAAAGCCCTTATATTCTATATACGAAGCTGAACAACTGTACAATAACGGATCAACTTAGTAACTTGAAAAAAAATCCATACAAAATGTTAGACAGCTGATTAATATTGTGTGGAGACAATTCTTTTTTTAACAAACTACGCATTTAAAAAATAATAAGGTTAAGATATACGGTACTTAAAAGTATTCTTTTTATTACTGCGTATAGAAAAAAAGGTATAACAAGCAATATACTATACGTAAATGCTACTAAATTGTATCAATGCTTACAATTAAGCTTAAAAATGTTCCTTGCTTTACAAAATATAAATAATAAACCACGATTCAAAATATTTATCCACATTTTTTTATAAATATCGAGTAAAAATGGATATTTATCCTGGGTATTTATCCCAATAATATTTATCCATGACCCATCTCTACTCAGAGTCGACTTGATGTAAATGCTACATTATATAAATATGTTATGTTTATTAATGCCTGTAAATTTCAGAGTTAACGTATATCTCGGTGATTATGATATCCGCAACAGTGGTCCCGATTGCATAAAAACAGACTATGGTGAGAAGTGTACTGACGGAGCTCTCAAGACAAGAATTCACAGTTACATTGTACATCCTGGGTATCACAGTAACAAGTCCTCAAATTTTAATGATATCGCACTGATTAGACTGTCAACTATTGCACCTTATACAAGTAATTTTTTAATTTTCTTAAAAAATTCTCAGTAAAAACTGTTTGTTTAATGCTTTTCTCGATAGTCCAATCTTTCTTTTTCAACATCCATATCCTATTTTTCGTCATTCATTTTCAAGACTTTATAAGTAATCCAGTATTTTGTAAATGCTTTCAGTTAGGGATGATAAGATATCGCTTTACTCTCTCGAGTTTTAATTCCACATGTAGACCTAAAGTCAACTTTATTGTTATTATGAGATCATTGACCGAAATTACTCTTCTGAAAATAGACCATCCCGTTTTTGAGCACGGGTGTCCAACAAGAAGTGGTTATTGGGCCATAATTTAGAGTCTTCTTAATTTTCAGATTTCATTCGTCCAATCTGCCTGCCAAGCTTCGATATAATATCGGCTCTTCCATATGAATACTTCTTATACGTAGCAGGATGGGGTGCGATTAAGCAAAATTCTCCGTCTGGGTGGGGTGCGTATCAGAAGTACGAATATGACGGGATTAAGAGACATGTTGCTTTGCCATATAAACCGATTGAGGTTTGTATAATGTTACTCAGGTAAATAGTTAGAACATCCGGAATTGAGACCTATGAACAGAGTCTAACAGTGTCAAACTTGTCTTTAAAATAATTTTCAAAAATCTTCTAAACCTAAAAATTTAAGTATCGCATTGAACAAGACGCATATCGCTGCTTTTCAAGAATAGCGGCTTAAAACAAAATACTTCGCTTTTGCTTATTGCACAACTGTACTAAGAATGTGCAAAATTTTCCGTTTTTGAGATAGGTCACTTCTACATTCTAGAAAACCATCGATATGATAAACAAGATGATTTTGAAAATAGGCTTTCCAAAGTTTCGGCAAAAGTTTAAATTTTAGATTAAAAAAAATCTAATTTTAAACCACATTCTACGATTTTTTGTTTACAGTTCTGCCGCGCAGCTCTTGGTGCATTCGTGAACCAGCAGCATATTTGCGCTGGAGGTCAACAAGGTAAAGACTCCTGCACTGGAGATTCCGGAGGACCACTAATGTTCGAAGACGATGGCACCTATGTAGCAATTGGTATAGTCAGTTTTGGATCTGGAAAAGTACCTTGTGGTACTGAGAACTATGCTGCTATTTATACTAATGTTTTTGCACATATGAATTGGATTTATAAAAATATTCAACAGTAAATTTTTTTTTATTTTTTTTTTTATAATGACAGGCAAATGACTCCACTCCACCTGATGTTAAGTGGAAAGTGGTATCCAAACGCGAAGGAAAATTTTCTTTTATTACTCTTTGTTTTATCGGAGTGTAAGTTACGGTATCTTACATGCCGTAAACTAGGTTTAGAAAGGTATTAAACCCGTATATTCTCTTGTAAATTATGCTCTGTCACTCAAAGTTCTTTTTACAATCTTATTGTAAATTTTATAACCACATATTTTTATTGTTTCATTACTCTCACTTTACTTAGGAACACGAAAATTTTAGTGTCGTAAAAATATGATCACATAGCCGCTCACGCGACACATGCAGCCGTAGACGCATACCACACCTAGAGGTGCCGGTGATGATTTTATACCGATTTATCGGATATCGAAGTTATAACAGGTAAAAGAACTAATATTAATTGCTATTTCGGTAACTACTCTAGCAAACCATAAAGTTACTAATGACTGGGTCTGTCATTAAAAAAAATAAACAACTTCAAAAATACGTCACGACAATCGTGTGTGTTATTGTTTGGGCTGGTGATTTCGGTGTTTATTTATTGAAAACATGCCGTAAGTAGCATTTTTTAAGTTTACCCTGAATATAAATGTTTATAAACTATACTTTAAGGAATAATTTCATGGTAAACGTTAGAACCACTCAAGCGAAATATTATCATATTTATCCAAGTACACCAAAAATTTCATTGGTGCTTTTTAAATGTAGGATTTGTGGTGTATTACTGCATTTAATTTGAGATGTTTTTGTTGGTAGTACGGAGGGTATTTATTTAGCAATGCAAATTAATAATTTTATTTATAAAAACTTGTATTTAAACTGAATGCTTTTCTATTTTGCGACACCAAATAGCCGCCATTTTGCGGTAGGAGGACCGCATCGCGTGAGCGGATATGACTGGTAAAAATTCGCATCGCGATTACATATATTTGTTTGTCAAGCAAACCAACGTTTCGGGCTCTCTACAGGTCCCATGATAAGGCTCACGGCAGACCGTGTAACTTTTTGCTGATTGGTAATTTAACCTAGTGGAATCGGGCCTTCCAAAACATTAGAGCAACTGAAGAGCCAACTGATTCGTTTTATGCTTAACAAGAAAACATGTTCAACAAATTTCCAAAACACACTCTTAGATATTTCAATCCTCCAAATACACTAAAATTTGGCAGCTCAAAGAGAAACACGAGTACATCTACATTCGGAATACGTAACATACATTATGGAAGAGCTTTTTCTGATTCTGAAACCTAATATACAGTGAGAATGATTGCAGTAAGTCAAAATAAATGCATTTGTCAATTGGCCACTTTGATTTAGTTTGGAAAAACTTCTGAACCCCTGAATTCGGTCATCAGCTCTTCTAGTCATAATATAATCTATTGTGGCTTAACAAGAACACATATTTTTAAAGCGAAAGAAGGCATGGTGAAACAGCTTTTTCATCACTTTGGTAACTGATCATTCTTGATATTCTGGAAAATGAGTCTGATACTTTGAGTGACGAAGAAATGCCACCGAACCAATCAGCAATACCGTCGATAAGTGTTTAGTGATCGAAAACGTGTTTGAAAGTTACGTGGACATTTGAAATCTATTCTTACTTGATGTTTTCATCATGCATTTAAACAGACAAAGGTTTATTGCTGATTCTTTTCAGGGAAATTTGCCACCTCTTTTACTATCTTTCTTTCTTTCTAGCCGTTCTCAACCATATCGGTGTAGGACTCTTTCTCTCTCTACTTTCTAGTCATCCTTCCAATACATCTACGGTCTCCCACTGGGGCGTTTTTCACCCCTCGTCATTCGAGGACCGCTTTACACCCGGACTACTAGTTGAAGTAAAATGAAATAAATTATGTTTCATGAACTTATATATTTATTTTTCATCAGCCTTACGAATAAATTAAGAGAAATTTGCATGACCGACATACCAATAAAGTGAGCAGCCGAAGTGTGAAATCCTGTTTTCAACAGACCATCTTCATATCATTACTGTACATGCTTAGCAATTCTCATTTTGTTTCGGCGTATTGTATTTATCATGCAGATGATTATAATCTTGTTGCTCACGCTTGTCTCTGCTATAGAAATTCTTGAGTTTAATTCCCATTAGGATGCCTGCCTTATACAGTATTTTGAATTAATGTGCAATTTGCTTTAGTTATGAAGGAAAATATCGTGATGAAGTTTTAAGTTGGAGGTTCACAAAAAACTTCGAAGTCATGTGAATTTCCTAACCTAGATTGGGCTAGCGTAGTTGGACGTGTATGAGTTGACGACGATAATGGCTGTATGAGTAAACATGTAGACTGTGTCCAGAGATCACAGGAATCGATTAGCTTAAGCGCTTTTGAAAGTTCATTGCTTGACGTAAATGCTAAATAAATAAAAAAAATGCGTAAATATTTCAACAGATATCATTTTGAGTAATTTATGCAGAATCCTTTATTATGTCGAACCGATTTCATTACAACAAATTCTTGCAGGTTTTTTTTGGAATTAGTTGCATATTTTAATTAGTATTCATTTCACATATGAGTCTCTTTTTAAATTCTGTGTAAGGCCATGAAATATAATTTCGCCCTTTAAGAATAATGATTAAAAAATAAAGCTATACATAAAAGACCTTTGAAGTTAAAAGAAAAATCAGTACATCTCATTATGTTCAGTGAACCAGACTCTTTTGAATCAATAAATTCCAAAAGGGGCATTTTAAAGGCATCTTTCCTAATTGCTTAGGAAAAAAAAACTCAAAAATTGTATCCCATTTACCGGATGGGTTGTATAAAAGAACTTCCTAATAGAGTTGGAATCAAGTAACTGTTATTTATATTGATTTGTACTAAGTAAACCTTTTTAGTAACTTTCATATCACTAAAAAGGCCACTGGATAAACAATTGTTCATTGAATTGTTTTGCTGTTGAGTGTCTGTGTTGAATGGGATAATATTGTGACATCTCACCTCTTTGTATCGCCTCTCTCCTCTTGTATCTTATCATTTTTTTTATTTTACATGTATTTAAATTTTAAATTTGAATTGTTCCATCTTCCTTCACTTTCTCATTTTGTTTTCGTACCACGGTCACTCCCAGCTCGACCGCCACAACAGTCAGAGCTATTAATAAGCTAATCATGTGTAATAATTTATAAGTCTACACCCTTCATGTATCTATTTCTGTAATTCAGTTTCTCGGCCCATTAAGGGTAAGTGCCTTAATAATAAAGTGTAGGGAGTGTTTTATACTGTTATACCTGTTTTTTTACATTTACCTTTATATTGTTACAGCCTTTCTTTAAACTTTACTTCTTTAATAAATTTTGTGGACCGGAAGTTTCCCATTTCATTGCCGTGAGCCTGTTCACGGCTAGTTAGGGTCAATTCATAATTAGGGTCAGTCCTTTCAATATTAAGCCAAATTCATAAACATTTCTCATGTAATACTTACTCCAATAATCTATCACATCTTCGCTTCAGTTCATACCGTACACAATGACAGGGATAGAGCAGGTCAGTATGGAGCCCTCTAGTCTATGGAAACACAGACGACTCTCTGTGTGTGTTCTACAGTCTATAATGGGGAGTTCTTAGAGGAACTTTTCGAACTGGTGCCACTGTCTCTTTTCCACTATTGCCCCTCCTGCTAAAGGAGTTGAGTTCATCTCCACATCTTAAATGCATGGCAATGCGAACCTGGAAGGTGTGGAATAATCTTCCTCCTGAAGTATTTTCTTTGCGCTACCTACGATCTTTTGACCCCCTGTCAGGGTTCTTTTTTTTTTTTTTTTTTTATTGTGACTCGGCAAAATGACTGCACCGCGCCTGATGGAAAGTGCGAATACAGTCCAGAGATGAGAGTGACGGATGGAAAACACAAATATCTTCACAAAGTGTGTCAACAGGGCCTCCAAGGCTGACAACGCATCTCATCAGCAGCTCATCTGATTTTGCAAATGTCCATAGGCGTCGATGATCACCTCCCATCAAGTGGCTCGTCTGCTGGTTTGCCTCCTTCTTAACATAAAAAAGGTGTCGCAAACTGCTGCACAATATCGGTATTTAATTATCTATCTGCAATATTAAAGCGAATTTTAAATTATAGTTTGGTTAGTTACCTAACTAAATACAAACTTCTGAGATCTATTGATTATACTACGAAATATTTTGAAATAAATAACTTTTATTAACATCAATCTACTACAGTTCAGAGCTGGAAATAGGCTTCTCATGGGACCTGTCCGTTTGTTCAGCGGCTTTAATCATAAGAAATTTTAGACTTATCTATGTAAATAACTATGTGTATAGCGATTAGAAGCAACCATTTTATTTTGCCATGGGTGAAAGTGGTTTCTTAGAGCACAAGCACGATGACGCGCGTTAACGTGATTCAGACGCGATGCAGTCGCAACGAGTAAACCTTTGCACACATTCACATACTCAGTGGCGCTGTAAACGCGCGTCATATTCGCGTATATGCGCCGCCGCTGACGCGCTGTAGTCGCGTGTATGTATCGCGAATTCTGATTTTAAACTTTTTTTAGTAGCAGTAGAGCTCCTTGTGAAAGAGTTCGTCCAGTACTGCCGCTTTACCTATTTCTGCCACCAAGCAGTAATATCAGCACTACTGTGTTCCGGTTTTGAAGGGTAAGGGTGCTGGTGAAATTACAGGTGCATGGGATATGTCAACTTATGTCTCAGGGTGACGGGCGCAGTGGCAGTGCTCCTCAGATCTTTGCGATTTAAAGCTCTGAGGACACTGCAATTGTTATGGACTAGGTTACCATCAGGAGCACGACTTGTTCGTCCCATCACTTGATATTATGAAAAAAAAAAATACTAATCCTAAAAATTACAGCAAAAGTTGTCTTTAACATTAAATTCTAAGTGTGAACTCCAGTGGAGTATATAAGCTTTTTTTTGCAACGCGATGTTTACGTGCGTTTGAATCGATTCAAACG